GTTGGAAGGAGTGTGGGAGGATTTCAATTAATGAAGATTTACTAAATTATAAGTTTTATTATAATATATTAACATAATAAAGGGGCACCACCTGTTGCTCTAACAGGAAATTAATCTCGTATTTTTGACTTAATCCCATGTACTGGAGGACGGAGCTCTTTTCAGTTTATGACGGTAAACACGAATAAAAGACGTGGAGACAGAGCATGAATTTCACAATATACCCTATATTCATGGATTCAGAGAAAAATTACATCACAAGTCGTTCATGGCAAGTAAAGACATTTGCTATCCCTACTGCTATGAATTTAAATAACAAGTGACATCACTTCAGCCAACTACTTCTAGTAATTTTATGCTACAGAATCACAACTCACTATTATCTATTCTAACAAAAGGAGTAAAACCTTCCTAGATTAATAAAAGAAAATGTTGATTCATTTATCAAGATGGGATGTGGTTTCTAAGGGAAATCAACTCGCCAGCTCTTCCTTCCGAGTCCGTTTCGAGCGTCAGAACTGTCTCTACACCACCTCAGCTGAGCACACCACCAAACACATAGAAAGATGTTCTTTCCTACCATTTCGACATGAACCAGGTCAGTTCTGCCCCAGGGTACCAGGAGATYTGAGCGAGGATGGTCACCGGTGCCGCTCGGTCTCAAAGGGGTCCCGTTCGGGTACAGCTGGACACGCCGAGGCTGTCTGGGGTCGGCTTCAAGCTACAGATGAGAAAGTCGGTTTGGGTCTAGATGGATCGGACTGAAGTTCTGGTCAGCTCAGTTTCCCAAACAAATCTCGTCCCTAAACTACAAAAATTAAACTAAAAAAATTAAAATTAAAATAAATGTCCCCGAAGGGAATGAAGGAACTTGAAACTCCTGGTCCGTTCTCTCTGGCTGCTGTTTATAGACTACAGAAATAATAAAAATGTTATCTCTTGTCCTGACTTTACAAACTTCTGATTGGCTCAGAGTCACCAGCTTCACTGAGATCACGGTTCTGCTGCTAAAATGATTGAACAAAACACAGATTGACGTGGTTACCTGTACAGTGATTAAATCAAGATATCATCACAGTGATTGAGTCATGATAGTAAAATACATTTTTTTTTTTTTTTTTTTTTTTCTTTTTTTTAATCAGACAACTAAC